GGGCGCCCCCGCCCGCGCCCGCGCCCACCTGTAGCACCAGCGGCTCGGGGTTGAAGGCCAGCGTCAGCAGCAGCTGCATGCGCTCCGAGTCCTTGAGGTTGCGGAGCAGGAAGCTGCCCGAGTCCTTGGTCTCGGCGTAGCGGCGCACCAGGCGGTCGAGCAGGCGCTGCGAGGGGCAGTGCACCAGGTCGGACCAGCCCTCCACCGCCTCGGGCGTGAGCAGCCGCACGTCGCCGTTGAGGCGCGCGAACTCGGTGCGCGGCATGGCCTGGAGCAGGTCGCAGCGGGGCCGCCCGGTGGCCCGCTTGCAGATGCTCTGGTCGAGCTGCGCCAGCTCGCGCTGCGAGCCGAGGCGCTTGAGCACCACGCGGCGGCGGCCGCCCTCGCGGGGCTCGCCGTACTGCGCGAAGTAGACGTTCTTCACGTTGAGGAAGTCCAGCAGGCGCAGGCGGCCCCACGCCTCGAACGCCACCTGCCCGTTGAGGAAGCGGCGGCACCAGCTCGTGCCGAAGCACGCCGGGCACTTATTGAGCTGCAGGAAGCGCCGGTCGGCCAGCTCGTTGCGCTGCCAGGAGGCGAGCAGCGACGGCGAGTGCAGCACCATCAGCACCAACAGGCTGCCCAGCGCCGCCAGCTTCAGTGAGCGGGACAGGCGGCCCAGCTTCGGGGGCACCAGGCGCCACATCCCGCCCGCCGCCCGTCCGCCCCGCGCGGAGGGCGAGGGCACCCCCGGGGCGCCCCCGCCGCGCCGAGACCCGGAGAGCACCGGCAGGGGCCCCGCGCGCGAGAAGGAGCGAGGGCGCCGGATGGGGCGGGAGGCGGAGGAGGCGTGTGAGCGCGAGACGGGGAGCGGGAAGAGCCGAGCCGAGCGGGCTGCGACTTCTCCCAGTCACTAGTCTCCACAACTCTCGAGCTCCCTCCTCCGAGCTCCCCGCCCTCCGACTCCGGCGGCGCCTCCTCCCCGCCAGCCAAGTTATAGAGGCGCGGGAGGGGGAGGGAGCGCGGGGACTCGCCGGCCGCGCGCCCGCGTCCGCGCGCGCACGCGCCCTGCTCGCTCGGGACGCGGGAGCGGCGGCGGCCGCTCGGGGCTCCGAGGAGAGGGAAGGAGGGACTCACGGAAGGGAAAGAGAAGCTGGAATGTCTCAGCGAAAAGTAGCAACAGTGTAGGAAGGAGGGAAGGATGAGGTGCCCGCGCGTCCCTGACGCCGCACGCCCCAGGTCCTACGCGCCGGCTCTCCAGAGAGGGAGGGGGTGCCGGGGGCGGGGCTGGCGGGCGGGGCGAGCGCGTCGCGCGCCGCCCGGAAAGCGTAAGCGCGGGCTCGCGGGGCGGCCTCGGGGGCGGGCTCTTGGGGGCGGAGCTCGAGCCTTGGAGGAGGGTTGAGCTCGCGAGCTCTGGAGGTCAAGTGACTTAGGAGTGGTTAATCTGCGACTGTGGAGCGTTACTGGGGCCTGTCTTTTGCTGTTGTGGAGACGGTGCTCTAAGGGGAAAAAGAAGAAAAGAGTTGCAGAAGCCTGCTGCAACCCCTTCCCGCCGGAGGCGCGCGTGGCGGGGGCGGGGCGGCGGGTCCCCGCGCC